GACCTGACTATTCCCCATGGGCCCTTGAGTGGATAAGAAAACAAGCTCTGGGAGAAAAGCCTGGGGAGGGAGATTGGAGTAGGGACCGGGAAGGTAGACTGATCTTACCGGAAGTACTTGGGAAATACATGCTCACCAACCTACACAGATCCACCCATCTAGGCTGGAAGAAGTTGCTCAGTCTTTTTCAGCATGCACAGTTGGTATTTCCACACCAGAATGAGGCTGCACGTGAGATCACGGGGGGATGTGAGAGCTGTGCAAAGCTAAGACCAGCCCCAAAGGGGCTCCACCTGACAGGTATCTGGGAGAGGGGGAGGGCCCCAGGAAGAAGTTGGGAGATAGACTTCACCGAGGTAAAGCCAGGAAAGTATGGGTACAAGTATTTGCTAGTCATGGTGGATACTTTTTCAGGATGGGTGGAGGCTTTTCCAACTAAACATGAAACTAGCCAGATGGTGGCAAAGAAATTAATAGAGGAGATAGTCCCCAGATATGGGATCCCTGAGGCTATAGGTTCCGATAACAGCTCAGCTTTCGTTAGTAAGGTCCTACAGGGACTAGCCCAAGCTTTGGGGATGGATTGGAAGTTACATTGTGCCTATAACCCACAAAGCTCTGGGCAAGTAGAAAGAATGAATCGGACATTAAAGGAGACCCTTTCTAAATTAGTAATTGAGACTGACAGTGACTGGGTGTCCCTCCTCCCCTTAGCCATTTTCCAGGTTTGAAACTCCCCCTATGTGCATGGTCTAACTCCCTTTGAAATAATGTATGGGGCCCCTCCGCCAATAACCTGGCGAGCGCAGCCCCCGGGGGAAGAGAAGTCAGCCCCCGACTATTTAAATGTGTTGCAATCCCTTGCCAAAGTACAACAGGAAATTTGGTCCCTAATCAAAGCATACCATGAAGGGGAGAGAACCCCAATTGTGGGGCATGGCATAGTCCCAGGGGATATGGTCTGGGTAAAAAGACACAAAGTAAAAACTCTTGAACCCAGATGGAAGGGACCTTATGTTGTATTGTTTACCACCCCACTGATCTAAAGGTTGATGGTATTGCTCCCTGGGTCCACCATACCCACGTTCAGAAGGCCCTGCCTCTCGAGGACCAGGAATCCTGTGTGAAGAAGTGGGAGGTGCGGCAAAATCCTGCTAATCCCTTGAAGCTACAGCTGAGCCGGACATGAAAGGATTCCTGCTGATAAGCTCACTGTTATGGGCTCTCCAGAGAACAGTAGTGTTAGCGGGAGCTCAGAACACCAACCCCCACCAACCGGTGCGCCAGACGTGGATCCTGCGAAATGGCGACACTCATGAGGAATGGGGCCAAATCTCTCGTATTGCCCCACTGTGGACATGGTGGCTGGACCTGTATGTAAACTTAGAACTTGTATTGAGGGAATCCCTCCCCGAGAACCCACCCTGGCGTGTCTAGAAGAGCCGCCAAACTACTCGTAGCAATGGGTTTTATGCTTGCCCTAGTTTCCGGACAGGATGGTGGAAGCAACATTGTGGGGGTGCTGAAAGTTTTTATTGTGCTGAATGAGATTGCGTAGAGACTACCGATGGACAGGAGAGACGGAAAGCTTCCCCTGATTTAATTGACATGAGATTTATCAATCCGTATGATAGGCAAAAAGTGTCTCTTGAAGCCAATAAAATAAAAATCACCTTTACCTCAAAAGGAAAACAAGATAGGAGGTGGACAAGTGGTCTGACATGGGGCCTGAGACCTAACTCACGGCCACCGACTATAGGGGTTATGTTTCAGATCTTCCTCAAGGTCGAGGCAGTAGTCGAATTGGCAATAGGGCCCAACCCAGTGCTGAAACCTCCCCGCCCAGAGCCCTGACGTCCTACACCGAGGCTCATTCTCCAGCCTACTACATCTGCTACCCCAACTATGGGAAACCCACCTCCTTTCAAGAATTCCATGTGGGAACTGATACAAGCAGTGGTAGAGACCCTAAATTACACCAGTCCCTCCCTTGAGGACCCATGTTGGTTATGCTACCCGGGATCCCCACCTTTCTATGAAGCAATCAGGATGAATGGCTCTTACACTCTCATCCTACTTACTGGGACAGGAGACCATGGGGATTCACTATTTCCCAGGTTTCTAGCACTGGTACCTGTGTAGGCACAGTTCCAGCATCCCAAAGCCAGGTATGCTCCTCAAGCATTACCGGCCCATGGGAGCAGGAAAAGTGGGTTATACCCTCTTCAGGATGGTGGCTTTGCTCAAAAATAGGCCTCACCCCAGCATTATCCACCTCTGTGTTTAACTCCACTGCTGAGTTCTGTGTACTAGTGGCCATTCTGCCCCAGCTTTCATACCACACCCATGAATCTTTTCTCTCTTACTGGGAAGAAAGACTAGGTCCCCTTAGGAGTAAAAGGGAGCCCATCAC